TGTTCTGTCCTCCCGCACTTCTCTATGGCCGCTGAGATGGGAAAATCGGTGTGCAGTGATCCTCGCCTGAAGCTTAGCATCCAACGGCACCTTGAATCAAAACAGGCTGAACCAAGACTACGACCAGAATCATGCCATGATGCGATTGGTTCGGGACACGTTCCAGGAACTCCACAGCATCTGGAACGGCCCTCGTCTCTGGAGACCGCAAGGAAGGATAGGACATCTGGGCCACATTGGCAATCCTAGCAGCTTCCCCAGTCGTAGCTGGTCTGTTCTCGTCCTCCTCGATCCGCCTCTGACAAAAAAAACTGTATGACATACAGTCGGGGCGTTGACCTCAGGAACCCTAAATAGGGAACGAGGCCCCTCTTTCCATAAGGCAACCTTCGATTTCCAGTCGAAAACAGAAGGAACGCCTGAGGCAAGCTGTGAAAAACCTAAGGAACACCGAGCCCCTCCCCAACGAAAAGGGTTCCTTCCTCAGCGCCCCGACTGTAGCCCCAGCGGGCCTCCATGGGCCCCCCGAGCAGCCCGGAGCAGAGCAGCGCAGGGCGACCCAACGAAAAGGGTTCCTCCCCAACGAAAAGGGTTCCTCCTTCAGCGCCCCGACTGTACGCACCGTCGGAGGTCCGTGCGCGTCTCCCGGGCCGGCGCCGGAGCCCCCTCCCCTGGCGCGCAAGGCGCGCCGGGGGTAAGGACGGAGATGCGCTCTACTCGGCCCAGGAAGCATTGCAAAAAAAACGAAGGATTGAAGGATTGCAAAAAAACCCGAAGGATTGCAAAAAAACCCTTCGTATTTTTGCAATCCTTCGTTTTTTTGCAATCCTTCGGTTTTTTTGCAATCCTTCGTGCGAATGCCCAAGCAGTGGTGTTCAGATTGGCGGCGAGCGCGGGGGGAAGTGAGAAGGAGCGGGCCGTCTCGGAAGGAGGGCTCGGAAGTCCCCTGGCCTTCCGAGGAGTTCCCTGGGCCTTCCCCGAAGACAGAACACACTTCTCGGAAGGCACGGGGGCTTCAGAGAAGTCCCGCCGCCTTCTGAGAAGGCCTTCTCCTTCTCATCATTTCCCCCCCTCGCTCGCCGCCGGTCAGGTGAGCGACGAAAAGACTTACGCGAGATGGCATGGCGACCTTACGCGGGGGCTCACGCGGGCCGCCAGCGCGGCGCGCCACATTGGAGACGAGGGCGCTTACGCGCGAGCTTACGCAGGAAGCAGACGCGCGGCGAAGACGACCCCGTTTTTCTGCGTCGCTCGCACAGGCTCGATCCCATGTTCATGTCTACGATTCCGATCACGCCCGCCGCTGGCCCCGCTCCTCCCGCCCCCCCCCTCCTCCGGGTCACGCTGCGACTTGCGCCAGCGCCGCCTGGGCACTGGCAATTCCTGGGCACCCCTGGGCATTCTCGGACGGCGCTGGCGCGAATCGCGAAGTTACCGACCCCCTCCCCGTCTCCCCTCCCCCCCCTGCGGGCCACGCCTGTTATCTCACCAGGGGCCCCGGGATCCGATGTCTTGACGTTTCCACTGCGCAGTCCCCGGAAGCCCCGACTCGCCATCGCTCGGACTTCCATTTTTTGTGTTTTCTTCGGTTTCGTGCGCGTTTTTTTCGCCAAATGGTCAAGGATGTTCCTCGATGGCCCTCGCCGAAGGAAAAATGCACACGTCCGAGCGATGCCAAGCCGACACTTTCCCCAAGACCCGCTCTCTCATCGTGAGTCGTTTTCTGACGGCCCAGGGGCCCGGCGAGGGCCCCCAGAGGCCGAAATCTACGCACAACCTCCGTCTGGATATTCCGAGGACTTCAAGATGCCTCTCCGACGTTCGAGCCCTGCGCCCCTCCGCCGCCCCCCCCGGCGCGCCCGAGGAAGACGTTGCAGAACGCCACCATGATCTGGGCGTGGACCTGCCGGGGGGCCACCCGCAAGGACGACGCCCGCCGCTGTCCAGAGGAGCCGGCCCCTGCGTGTCCAGCTCGTACTGTTTTCTGCTGCTTGGGCATACCTGGTGATGAAAAGTGCCACCCTTCCGACTGATGGGAAGGGGACTCCAACATGCTCGAAGAGGCCGAGCATGGAAGAGGAAGAGAGGAAGAGAAAGAGAGAGGAAGAGAGGAAGAGACAAGGAACGAGAAGCGGGATGCCTAAACTGTCCAGCTCGTCAGGCTGGACGGCGACTAAGAACAACTTGCTTATCGCGGACCTGGCGTTCGCGCAGATCGGTCGGGCAGACATAGGGCCACCGTGCAGACAACTGGTGCGTTTCGGCGGCGAGCGAGGGGGGAAATCAGAAGGAAGAGGCCTTCTCAGAAAACGGCGGTCCTTCTCAGACGCCCTCCGGCCTTCGAAACGTGTCCTGCGTCGTCGGGGAGGCTAAAAAAACTTCTCGGACGGCCAGGGGACATCCGAGCCGTCTTGGAAGGCCTTCTTTTCTTGGGCATGCCGCGGGAGCGAACGCTCCTTCTTAGAGAGAGAGGGGGACAAAAAACAAGAGCTCCTCCTTCTCACTTCCCCCCCAGGGCTCGCCGCCGCGGCGAGCCCAGGGGGGAAGTGAGAAGGGGGAGGGGGTGGGAGAAGCGCACGTAACCTGAGATGGTTCGTGGTGACCTGGGCACTAGACGCGCATGGCGGCGAGTGCGGCGGCTCGGATTTCGTAGTGGTATGGCGGCGTCGGTAGCCGACGGCGCGAGGAAAGGTCAGCCTTCAGCTTCTGATATATGTGAAAGCTGAGGACCGTGATGTGATGGCAGCGCAGACGAGGATACTCAGCCTCTGGATCGGGCACAGCTCCGAGACCCAGACGAGTGATAGGGGAGACGGGAAGAGACCCTCGAGGAAGAGCGAGGAGGTGCAGGAGACGAGGACACACGAGGTAGTGGGGGAACTCATCTGGGTCGGAGCAGCCGAACAAGCACGAGCATACTGGTGCGCTGGGAAGCCTGGAGGACGTTGCCCATGCCCCTGCAAGTGTCTTTAAATGGGCCCAGGCCCAAGACGGTGGCGCGCGACTGAGAATAGCACGGAGGGCCTGCCAACGCCTCTGCAGGTCTGGCTGGGCAGGGACGGAGCCACGCGGGACCCATTCGGGGGGTGGGAGAAGGAGGAGGAGGAGAAGAAGGGATGGAGGGAGGGAGGGAAGGAGAGAGGGCAGAGAGGGAGGGAGGGAGGGAGGGAGGGAGGAGGAGGATGTGGAGAATGTGGGAGAGGAAGAAGAGGAGCAGGAAGGGCGGCGGCCGCGGCGCCAGGGGAAAAAGGAAGGCGCTGCCCCCTCAGACCGTACGGCTCCTGCGGCGCGCAGCGACCGAGAAGGAGCACACTGCTTTTTGCGCCGCAGCGCGGCGGAGGTGATGCGCACGCGTCTGCTCGTCAGCCGAACATCTGACGAAGAAAATCATCATTTGGGACATCTGGGCCAGCTGTGCCCGGGCGCTTCCAAGTCGGGCGTGCCCCCCTACAGGGCGATCTTCGACGAAAAATTCAAAATGCCCCCAAAATAATCCCAAAACTGGGGACCATTTGTTTATACAGATTTTTGGACCTTTTGGGTGTTTGTTTGGGATGCTTTTTTTTTGTCGAACATCCCCCTGTAGGGGGGGACAAGCCCGACGCAAAGGTAGGGGCCGGCCAGGGGCGGGCGAGCCATAGTGCTCCGGCTGCCGGAAGGGGGGAGCGAAGGAGCCCGAGAGAGGGCGGCCGCGGGAGGCGGGCGACCCCCCATAGGGCCCCCCACCGCGGGCCCCCGCGGCAGGGCTCGCACATGCAGTTCCACTGCCATGTCAGCGCACTCCTCGCACGGTTCGCGACCTAGTGCTCCGGCTGCCGGAAGGGGAGAAGGAGCCCGAGAGGGCGGCCGCGGGAGGCGGGCGACCCCCTATAGGGCCCCCACCGCGGGCCCCCGTGGCAGGGCTCGCACATGCCATTCCACTTTGCGGGGCCAAGAGGTAGACGCCACCACCACCTCCTGCATCCCCTCCCTCCCCCAGGAAGGAGGAAAGGAAGGTGAGGGTGGAGATGGAGGAATCGACGTGGTGGTGGTGTATATTCTTGGGACCCGCACACTGCCATTTCGGCGCACCCCTCGCACGGTTCGCGGCCCTATGGTAGGGGGCCACCTGCGAACCCTACCCCTGCCCCCCACGATTTCTGAGGGGGAGGGTGGGGTTCACTTCGCTCGGGAGCTCCCGGTCGAAGTGAACTGGGGGGTAGGGGTAGGGTTCGCAGGCGGCCCCCTACACTTCCATGTCGGCGCACCCCTCACACGGTTCGCGGCCCCATGGGGAGCTCCACCGAAGGCCCCAGCGGCAAAGTTCGCATGCGGTTCCCCCGGGAGGGCGCCCACTGCACGAAGACCTTCGTCGGGAGCGGCCGGCAGGAAGGACAGGCACAGGGGGGGAGAGGGGGACGGCTGAAACACAAGCCTCATCGGGTGCCCGACGGTCGGAAGAAATAGGCAGGAACATGAAGCAGGAAGGCGCGGAAAGCAGATGGGGCATGCCCCCCCCAAATGGAGGGAAGAGGTGAAATAACGCTCGACCCTTGAAGTAGGAAGGCGCCCAAAGCAGATTGGGATCTGGGAGCCCCACAGTGCCTACTGTCCAAGACCGATGGGTAAGGTAGGGAGTTAGCGGTGGGAGGATGGGAGCGCAACAAGGCCCAGTCGAAGAACTAGCAAAACGATCCTGGCTCTGAGAAAAAGGGTCCATGTCGTTAATTTCTAATCGTGTTCATTTCTAATTGCGTTCGTTGCTAATTGTTCCTGGTCCCCTAGTGGCCAGGAAGAGGCCCAGGATAGAACAATTAGAAATGAGAGGATCTTGGCCCTCCAAAGCATCAAAGAAATTTCGAAACATTAGAAATCAGCCATGTGTAGCCTTCTCTCGTCCTCCCCTCCCTCCTCCTCCTCCTCCTCCTGCTCCTCCTCCTCCTCCTCCCTCCTCCTCCTCCTCCTCCTCCTCCTCCTCCTCCTCCTCCCTCCTCGTCCTCCTCCTCCTCCTCCTCCTCCTC